TCCATCTGTCTGTCTGTCTGTCTCTCTCTCTCTGTGTCTCTCTCTCTGTCTGTTTGTCTCTCTCTCCCCCCCCCTCTCTCTGTCTGTCTGTCTCTCTCTTTCTCTCTGTGAGTGTGTGTCTCTCTCTCCATCTCTGTCTGTCTGTCTGTCTCTCTCCCTCTCTCTGTCTGTCTGTCTGTCTCTCTCCCTCTCTCTGTCTGTCTGTCTCTCTCCCTCTCTCCATTTCTCCTATATATCTATGTAAATATCTATCTATCTATCTATCTATCTATACTCCCCCTCCCCTCCTCTTCCCAATCACTCCCCACCCACCCCTCTTTCTTCCCCACTTCCCCCCCCCCTTTTTTTGACATTAAAAAAGCATTTTAAAAAACCCCCAAACTTTTATTGTCCTTTTCTTTCGCTTCTTGTCAAGTTAACCGCATACGTTGGCAAGACTGGCCGAAGGTACCGGATCGGGCGTAATGCGAGACGAATAAATTAGTTGTCAATGTCAGTGCCGTTTTGCCATCATTTTTAAAAGTACAGTATTTGCAGGTTTTACCCTTTTCTTTTTTTTTTTTACAGTAGAGCCAAAAGGGGAAAAAAGCGAAAATAGTTACCAAGAAAAGAATATTGATTGCTTTATGAAGATATTAAGGAGGGATTATCAAAGTTGTATTTAAAAAAAATATTAACATGGAATGTTTGCAAAGGGTTTGTTTTCTTGGAGACAACATTCAGTCGTTGTTGTTGTTGTTGTTGTTGTTGTTGTTGTTGTTGTTGTTGTTGTTTGTTGCTCTACTGTAAAATTACAAAAACTGCATAATATACTGTACTTTTAAACATGTCAACGCAGTTGTTTTATTGGTAACAACATTTTTTTATTTTTTTTTGGTTCTCCTGTAAAATTGCATAAAAACAGCACATACTGTGTTTTAAAAAATGTCAGTGCACTGCGAACGAACGAGGGTGAAGGCGCGGGAGCCTATATTAATGCCCAGTTAAGTGTTTTACCCAGCTGTAACAGGAAGACGCCGCTGGTAGGGATTGCTTTTTTTGCCCCC